GATTTTTCCGGTGTGCGACCCGATGCGTTCTTGGATATTCGAGGCTTCCAATCGCATTAATTCCGGAACAGACTCGCTTTTTCTCCCGAGACGTGAGGGTATCCAACTTCTGATTGATTGTATTGGTGCTGTCCCAGTGGGAGGTTGACGATGGATCCAAGGCTGGTGTAATTACGTTCGACAGCGGAAATCGCGGTTAGAGTTCCCATGAATCACCGGGACCTCTTCGAAATCTCGGCTAGATTGGGGACTGAGAGGACATGGCGTACTATGAGACGGGGATCTGATTTTCGACCCTATTCCGCAGTATCCGGAACGTTTCATCCTTCAATTAAAAGCATCGTTTTGGCGCCAGCACAGGGAGAGATTGGTGACTTCATCCGCATGAGCAAATTGCTGGCGACCGCCGCGCGAGAGAGAACCGGCTTCGAAAGCTGTGACGGAAATGTGACCCCAAATCGAGCGATTTTCCCCCGGGGATTCACCCTCTCTGACCGCGAAGATTATGACTTCGAGGGTGTCTCATGTCAGGAGATTGCCGGTCGAATCCGAAGGGATGGTTTGAAGGCCGGGGCTTCAACGCTCGCTCCAGCGTGAGGACTGACGATTGTTTCGCTTTGTCGAATACTGTACCGCAGCGATACGGCGAGTTTCGAAGCGGATGCGTGTTAGCGATACGACGCTTCGAGGTGATCGACGGGTCTTCGAGTTTGTCGCTATGAGCTGAGTCTACATTGTCCTCCTCCTCCTCGAGACTGCGACTTTTCCCAGATGAGCCCTCCGCTGAATGATTGCTCTTCCACCATGCCCTATTCGAGTTGGGAGTGTCTACGACGTCGTCCACGGGCACAGGAGGAGCTTAACGTGGAAACGCTCAGGGCCGTTAACGCTGGGAAGCCATCATCGGGAGTTTAGCTCCAAACGAGCACAGCGTGGACCCCCGAGCGATCCCATCCTCTCACGTGCACACGATTGGAACGATTGACGGTGACTCATCCAAGCATTGGAAATGGATCCTCCACCTGATCGTATTCCAGCCAGACCTCAGACCACGAACTTCGATGACCGGGTCGGTCCTCAAGGAGATTGGACGACTTTCTCGGGCAGATAAGACTGGATCCCAAGCATCCTCGAAGAACACGGCGGCACTCATCGGTACAAATGTCGTTCCTGGAACCCATGTCATCCCCCACTCAAACGATACTGGGGCTCTGATAGAAATGATCGCTCCGAAGACGAGCGCGGCGAACAACGTGCTGGGAGCCGGTGGTATAATTATTCTGAACACTCAGATGGCTCCCAGTCCTCGAGAACTAGATTCCTTATCCTGAAACGTACATTGGCGCTCGGTGTCCGCCCAATTATCACAGCACCGGCTGGAGATAAAATCGTCGACCCACGGCAGTTTTATTCTTCTTGGAGTCCACGAAATAAAAACAGCGATGCTCGTCCGGTGCTGCTAATTCGCTTTTCTTCCTCGTACGCAGGTCGACTGCTCCTCTGACTGAGGTCGCGCTGCCTGTTCGCATCCATTTTCCCGGATACGTCTCGGGGAATTATCATTGGCACGAGCTCGGCCTTCTGTCTACGGTAATTGACGCTTTTCTCGTCCGATTCCCGTTGATTCGTCGCGCCTGCATCAATAGCAGCTGCTCAGCAAGATAGTAAGCTGCCGCACAGAGAGAATATCCCCTTGTGAAGAGCTTGTGAATGATACAATCGGATCTCTAGTGAGTCGGTCTCATGGGAGTGACTGGTCCATCTCAAGAGCGGCCACTCGAGATAGAAACTCAAAAAGCCGCCCAGAAGCGATCGTGTGCCTGTATGCGAAAAAGAGATCAGAGTGCCTGCTACCCATTTGCAGTGGTCAGCAGGGTCTGCTAATTAACCTCGAGTGCGGTTTGTTGAGGCAAGCCATCCGTACCGACCAAGTTCGCTCGGCCTTGGATCATTGGAACCACCGGCGCCCAAGTTCCGCCCCAGAGATCCCGATGGAGAATCACAAGAGAGAAACTCTATTCGGTCTCCTCGAGGAGAGTGAACTCCTGTCTGATCGACTCCCTCTTGATCCACATCGGCAACTCACCCGTTGGAGAATCCCGAGACCGACAACGGAGAGTCCTCCATACACTCCGCACATATGTTCATATGTGACTTATGTGTGTTCGATGCGTCATAGTCTTCGTCGGGAAGACTGAGACGCCTTCGTCGCTGTGAGGAGGGGAGATCCTCGTCTGAATTCTCTTTGTTCGATAGGTGCTCTCCGGAGGATTGTGGTTTCGGCGGAGCGGACATGTACCGAATTCCCCGCGGAATATCCGAGGGAACGACCATCATTTGAAATAACTCGTGATCGAAAGGTTGTCGTTGCTACTTTCGGATCCGTCGAGATGTCCCCACCCGTACGTGGTCGGACCTTTGAACTCCTCCTTTCTCGCCGCGAATCGAGACATCTCATCTCAAGGGGAGCTACGGTTTCGTGACCGCGACTTACGACCCTTGTAACCCGACGTCCTGTCTCCAATGGTTAGCCATAGCAGGTATGCATCGAGGGGCTGGAAATCACGGGGGGCCGGGAAGCTTCATTTGTCGCTATCCGAGCCGAACAGGGAGCGTCGCACCGGGTAGAGCAATAGCATTCCTCTGAACTCCGGTTACCTCCGATACAAATGAGCCGCGATCGCGGCTCTCGGTATGAATACTACATCCATATAGGTAGTCCGAATGGAAATGCCTTTGATGTTCCGCAGATGCGGAGTCGGATCCCCGTGCTCCGAGTCCACAGTCAATGGCAGCGCCGGGAATGCGAGGACTCATTCGGGAATTCCGATGTATCGAACTCTACCTCCGATACCTCGCTGACACCTCATTCGCAATTGGAATGGCCGACATCTGCTCAGAAGGAATACCCCATGAGTGCAAAGCCGAAGAGAAGCACACAAGAACGTGCTGTGCTCGGACGGCGGTACATTATCAGTCAATTGGGATGAGTGCTTGAAGGCTGCTTGCTCGGCGTGGAATTTTCCCTCGGTGAAATGAGCGTCACTAACCAACGGTCATGACTGTACGGAGAAGAAAAGCCCGAAGAGAAGAACGGAACGAACATTCGAAGCATCAGAGCATGACATTCGGTCAGAGCCGTTCCGCGGGACAAGATTTTTTCCTCTTCGTAACGACATGATTGCCACGAAAAATTACAATGACTGAGCGAGCTCGGAGCGTACACCAGGAAGATCACTTCTGCCGGAGGGCGCCGTAGGTCTGCTCACGTGCGAGTACCTACGTAAGATGGCTCCCGGAGATATTTTTGTTCTGACGGGAGCCCGACCCAGTCGAAAGTTCATCTCGAGCAGGGCGCGGACACTTTTCGCATATCTATCCCTGTCACGTAGCGATTTTTCTCCTTGCAGATGCCTAACGAAGGACACGGTAACCTCTGAGGAGTCAGCATTCTGGGATGGACTATGTACCTCGCTTCCATATTTCCTCCCACTGTGCTCGCAGATTATTCGCCGCCGGTCCACAGCGTAGTCAATCACATGGAGCAGCGTGATCGTGGGAAAATTCACTCACATCCAATTACGCAATCGATATCGAATCCTGTGAAGGTTTCGCGACGTTTAGTTGAGCTCATCGTCGGAATTTTGATATCGATTCCAAGACGCATCACGCGACATCAGCGTTTTTGCCCGAAAGGCAAAAGTTCTCCCGCTCTTGAAGGGACTCCAGACTGAGAGAACGCGTCGTGACGATGGTGACTACAAAACAGTCAAATCCAGTTCCCGATCCGTCAAGATTTAACGCTATTTTCTCTGGATTTTTTTCTGGAATTCTCAGTGACCAGATCCCAGCGCGCGCTCAATTCGAGCTAATTCTCCTGTCGGAGGTAGAGACGGAACTTTTCACCCATGGGATATTCATAAGCTTGAGCTTCCTTGAGCATCAACCTGACTTAATCGTTTCACGGCTCATGAATGTCTCGATGTGGTCTCCGGGAGCTTAGACCGACAGCATGGAAATAACCGAATTCATTCAAAAAACGAAGGTTCAAGCAGGACTCTGGAAATGGTGCGATGTCTTGCTTTGGCTCCGGAGCTGCGAGATCATCTTAATCGCCGGAGACATTCAGCGCGCGGTTGTTCCGACGGGCCCTGAGGGGACAGACCTTCTGTTCGTCAGGGCATACGTCGTTTGCTTGCCCCGATCCCGCCGCGGATCCAATTAAGGGGGGATTTGCGTCGCGAGTATTAATTGAGCGGGGGACCGCCTCCAGCCTGAGATGTGCAAAACAAAGCTTTTCGGATTGCGCTGGATGGAACAAGAACGCCCAACACGCTGTCAGCGTCCAGCTGGCCGCTCGACCATCGTGTAATTTAGGAGGGCTAACGGGCGCAGCTGGACTACAATTCAATACCGTCCGCTCACAGTCAGCGTTCCAGTAGTTGATCGCAAATCACGACCGCATCGTACAACGAGCTCGCCGAGGAGGTGACGACAGAATATTTGAGGTGAGCGCGCCGAGGAATGCAGCCAGGAGAAAAATTCCATCGAGCCAACTAAAACCTCAAGCGAGCTTCGAGGAAAGGAGTTCGGGCGCAGAACATTCCTTCCGCGGAGTTGGTAGCCTCGGAGCGGTAGAACCACGGCAGGACGTCGCGTTGGTACGCTGATCGATATCGGCGAATCCGATACGAATGTTCATGGGCTAATTGTCGGGGCAGACGCATTCCTCCGCACCGATAGCTGGCGGAGCAGCACCGGTGGAGTCATTATCTTTGTGGTGAGGAATCTATTAGAGTCGCGGTGCCGCTATCAATCATCCTCCACAAACTATCAAAATCAATTCGACGGCAGCAAATCATTTTCATCTGAGAGCGAAGCTTTCCGATCTCTGCTCTTGACAGCATCACCTGCGCTGCGCATTTCCCAACAATGCTGAGGATTTGCCTCTTGTGCCTCGGGCGGGCATCCCTCATTCCTCCCTATTCCGATCGACTTACCTGTGGTAAAGATAAGATGGCAGCCAGCACCCAGGCGACAACAACGCCTCGCTTTATTAGACTTATGTTCGTCTCTCGCTGTAGTGGGAAGCGCACGATCATCAGTTGATCCAGGGCGAGTACCACAAGAATGTAGGTGGACAGGTAAAGCGAGAAAACTTGCATGTACTTCACAAATTTACACGTCAAATCGTCCGCAAGCCACGCAATCGTGTAGGTCCAAGCGGCTTCGGTTAAAATACAGAACAGCGTGACCAACAGGTCGGCGATAGCCATGTGCGCCAGGAGAGTATATAGCGTCGAGCTGTGCGACGACATGCGACGCTCGCGCATTCGCGAGATCGATGATAGAGCCATTCCGTTGGCTAGGATAGAAACGCATCCGATCACTACCAGCACAATCACTCTGACCAAAACTTCATTTGTCATTTGCGGAGCCGGCCCCAGGGGCTGGTCGGTGGCCAGCACTCCGTAGGTTCCGTCGGCTAGCCATGGAGGCGACTCGGCTCCAGAACCATTGGACGATGAACCGTTATTTAGATTCAGTGTTCCGGTCACGCATTCCGTCAGAGAGTCGCACAAGAGAGATCCTTCCACACTTAGACTTTCTGACATGACTCCACGATTGCGGATCACGATTAATGAAAGATGGAGCGCCGAGTTCTCAATCGGTCTTGTCGGCCACTTTTTCTAATTTGGTCTTAAATATGCTCCGTTGACGCACGCCATCGAGATTCCCACAAATTGACACCACTCCAGGATCATCCGGTCATTCCCGGCACAGATCCCGGGTCACGTTTCCACACGGGGGAAAACAGAGCCACTTCCCTTGCGTGCGCCTTCTCAGGTCCGAGAGGCCCTGTGCTTTTGCGAGCACCCCCATGGGCGAGAACACGGTGGCGGCCCTCTCCGAATTTAGGAGGAGGGCTATGAGGAATCACACTCGATGGCAAGCGAACTTCGACATGGACTGAAAATTCCAGCATAATTACCGGTCGTTGGGTGCTATCACGTTCTCACTATTTTTCTTTTGCATGCGCTAATTTGCTGCCTCAAGGCATTCCCCCGTAGGAAACTGTCAAGGGTCCGCCTGTTTCATGCTGCGTCGGCCCTCTGCACAAACCGAAAAACCTAGGGGCGAGGAAACAAAGTATCAAGTCGAATACCGATGGGCGAGGGATGGAGCTGAATCATTTTGTTCCAGGAAACAGGCTCGGAATGCGACTCGATGAAACTAGGTGGAATGACCTTTTGCGTTGCGGAGAACGTTGAGCGGTCATCTTCGATTCGCTGATCCGTGCCTAATTCCGTATTCTCATTCCTCCTCGGAGAATTGGAGTCGTCTTCGAAGCGAGCTCGGTCACGAACCGAGTGGATCCAGTCATTGACACCGAAAGCTTTTCGATAGCTCTTTGGTTTTATGAGTGTACATCAACGATCAGAGCGGGACTCAATTGTCGGCATCCATGGAGAGCTCAATCGTGTCACACCTCTCAACGCCTTGATCCTATTCCTCGGAAAACATCAAGAACCAGAGAATGCGTGTTCCGATAGAAAGGGATTCTGCCGGCGTCGTCAGCAGATAGCTCGGCAACTTGGAGCCCCCTGAGCACTTCGATCAGGAGGTTTGAAAATCTGGAATTCTTCTGTCAGCGAATTTTCCGGATTCAATTTCCGCTGCTGTTCATTACGGAAGTGGAAAACGGCTCCGGATCGACCGCAGAAGCGTCCGGTAGCTGCTTTTTCTACCTACTCAGCCCGAGTCGAGAATGCGTATTCATTCATCGAAACTAGGATCTCTGGCGCCATCGCATTATGAGTGGGTGCTTCGAGCCATTGGAATGATAGTGATCACAGCAGCCTAGACACCGGAAAGTCGGACCTATATGTGCGTTAGGTGCTTGCCGGGAAATTCCCAATCCTGTAAGCGTTCTGATTATTCCGACGACTAGACGGAGATTCCCGGATCGGACGATTCCTGAGTCTTGATGTTGAAGTCATGCCGATTATTCCTTCAACCTGGCCCTGTGTCGATGTCGTTGTCTCCGAGGGGATCCCTCGGCTCGAGCCGGGTCCTCAAGGGAATACAAGCATCGCCTCGGAACCGAGATGACTCCTAGAAACTTCTTAGCATCAGAGATTCGATGAACTCAGAAATTAAGCTGTCACTGCACCGTGGTCTCTCCTAAGAGAGATGAAGACCCCACCAGCGATGGAAAATCACTCCCGACCCGAGTCATTCTTGTATACGATGAATGAACTCGATGTGTATCATTGATCATTCGTGGGTCTCCGAGCGAGCGAGAGCGTGATCAGCCTTCGATGTTCCGCGGGAGAAAGTTTGAAAAAAAAAAGGTTCAATGATCCGTTCAGGGCGTAAAACCCCGACCACTTAAGCGGCCTTTCGCGGCCGTCATTCAAGCGAAAGGTCTCGACTTCTTAGATGGGCCGAGTACAGTTTCAACCTTTCCGACGTTTAATGAGGGTCCAGTTTCTTGGAGAGTTCATAATGACGAAGACTTCGTGACTCGCTCGCTTGGAGACGCACGCAGCCTTCCAAGGCCAGAGGCTTGACTGCTCTCATGGATCCCCGAATCTGGGAATCATCTTCGATAGCTCCGATCCGGGACTCCCGATGTCACCCGTGCCGTGTTCCCCATCCGGACTCAGACTCGATTGAGCCACTGCTGTAGTCCAGCTAGTCCCGGGAATCCCCCGACAGCCGGGGGAGAGTCACGTTGCGTCAAGAGAGAGTGAGTTCATAGAGCTCTCGAGATGTAAGCCCTTCGGCAGAGGTGGTAATAGATCGGCTATGGTTAGCAGGATTTCAATGATTGCTCGTCCCGTAGATGGCTCCTTTCACTTTTTTCCAAAAAAATCTTGTCCCCAGCGTCAGGGACACTATCGTTCAACGTGAAACGTCTTCCTCGTGCTGATTGGATGCATCTAAAGCCAAAACCCACGTACGCGAGTTTAACTATTCGTCCGAAGATGGAGGACCAGCTGGATTTGATATCCTTGTCGGTCACCATTTTAAGAGTCTACAAGCTAGGATTTCGGGGTCGATTGTCGCCGAATATTGGCCCGAAGCGAGAAATTTGCGGAGCCTCAGGTTGTGAACGCATTTATCCTCCCTGATGCGGTCTCGTGGAGCGCAATTGACGCTAGCTTGATCGCTCGCTGGGCGCAGTGCCGTGCAGACCATGCCTGCTCATGATAGCACTGACAGCTAACGCGTCGACACCGAGCGCTTTTTATTGCCTATACGCTTCTCGCATAACATCTCAGCAGAATAATTACATCTCCACACATCTATGTTCCGCGCAAATGATTCCTGAACGGGAATCACGGCGCGGCGATGAAAGGGAGATCTCACACCGAGAGAATTTCCCAGGAAAGGCTATGTCCTATCCAATCTTCCTGAACACAAGAAGCGCATGACTCAAACAGACCTATAACTCGACAGCAAGTTTGAAAATCTGAACTTTTCCAATCACAAGGTTTTCCGAAGTTTTCGACCAAAGACCATTGATCGGAAGCTTCCGGAAGCAATCGGAGGTTCGGGGATTCATAAGACTCGAGTTGAGCATCGTGACCGGATGATACCATCTCCCGTAATGACACCAAGTCGTACAGATCCGTGCGTGAGAATAAGCAAGAATATTCCACGAGCCACGAGAATGAGGTCCCTCAACTATGTCCTCCACTATGGCCACGGAACCGAGCACAGAAGTTTCCGGAGATTCGAGAGATTTCTCCTCCTAAGAGAGCGTAATCGGCTGCCCGGTCGTGGTCGGTATATATTGTATGTAGCGGGTGCTATACTAAGGAGATTTCCAGGTCCCCGAGAAATAGCCGCAACCGTCCGTCGAATCTTTCCTTTGACACCCATGAGCCATGAGTCTTTTCTCCTTCCATACTGATTGCCTTCACAATCGGATGAGAGTCATCGAGACGATCTTGCGTCACAGATTCGTTGTATCCTAGCATGACCAGCCCTCCGTACCCGTAAGTCCGACCCTGAAGTCTCTCTTCATGGGGGCACTGCGGCGGAGACTAGGCTCAGTTCGGCAAGGTAGAGAACAGGCATGCCTACCTAGAAACGGAGCTAGCGCGTTATTTAGCCCCGCTCGAGTCTGAGGACTGCCGGATACAAGTTTCCGCGCTTTATAGGTATACGTGCGCTGCAGCCGCAGCGTCCTGACTCGCTGGACTATTCGATTAGCTGAACGACGGAATAGCTCGCATTATTTCAAGAAAAATGGCGAACCATGGGATCAGAGAGAGGGAGTTCCGGAATTTTCCGTCGATTATCCCATTGACTGCAACGGAAGTGTGGCGGCGAATGAACCTATTCGCCGGGGGATTTCGTGAAACACCTCTAAGACACGAATGGACTTGGAAAACGCGTCAATAAACGAAGGAAACCATTATTTACGAGCGTTTCAAGTTCGTTCCCGGGCTGCTTACGAATCCCTACGGAAAACGTCGAGAGGAACCTCGCAATCGGTCGTGAGTTCACAGAGAGTATGTCCCGTAAATTCGCAAGTTTCTGGAGCGTTCAGCATGAAAATTTGTCAAGTCGCGCATTACGATTTCGTGGCTAGACGGACAGAGTTCTTTGATTCGGCCACTCGAGCCGTTTCGAAGACGTCTCACGCCAGAATCTGCTTTGATACTCTCGGAAACGAATTCGATTCCCATTTCAATGTGAGAGGAATTCAGCGACGCTAAGCACAAGTCTGCGGGGTCCGCGAAATCCGTGGATGAGTCCCACCCGGCTCGGACTGTCGTTAATACTTCGGTCGTGCTTCGATGCGCTCCTTGTCTTAGGGAACTCCATCCAGACAACTTGGCGTCTACTTCGAATCTTTTCCGCTTGTGAGCCGAGAATCCTCGAGACTCCGTGAAACTATTCCGCGGAGATCTCTGTCCTTCACGATACTATTACGTCGGGGGCGCTCCCATGTCTATCCCGGATGGGGATAATCGCATAGTCGTCAGCGACAAATCGAGCGTCTAATATTTCGGATTCCAGGAAGGCCGCAATGCTATGGTGGGACGGTGACCTGAGAAACTAGATGCGGACAGGGAGTGCTCTCACGAGTCCATGGATTGGAATCAGTCGATGCGTCGTAAGCGGGAGCTCGTTTTTGGCTCGATGCGAGATTCGATTACCGGGTTAAGGATCCTGAAATGCTATGGATTCTGCTCGGGATTCCCAGGATGGAAGCGAGGCATCGCTACGCGTGCACCGAAGATCTTCAGATTATCGATGAACTCAGGCAGAAAAAGCCTGGCGTTCGATCTTGTTTTGCGTCAAGGATGTGGGCGCTGGCAAACAATCGGAGCATGAACCGATGATCATAGAGCTCGATTCACTACCCGCTGTGTGCAAAAAAGTTCTTCTTGTTCCAATGGTGGGAGCGCCAAGCCGCTTGGGCTTACGCAGTTCTCTTACATTGCAGATCTCAACTCCTTCTTCATGAGAATTCATTCGTTTCAGGGATTCCACTGTTGTCCGCTGGAACCAATTCCATCCCAGAATGTTCTTCTCTCAATGGGGCAATGTGAAAAATAATCCGAAGAACGAGATCAACAGGTCGGGAGTCTCC